GATGGATGGATGGATGGTGCAAGTCTTGTCGCAATATCGAAGGTTCAACTGTTGCTGTTGTGACTGCTCGTCATGGTGTGTCGATAAGGGAAGCAGGCCATTCAAGTCGGGAAACGTCTGGAATGGGTCGATTTCGGGGAGTTTCGAGTTCCATTCGGCGCCATTCAGGGCAACATGGAACATTCCATTGCGGGATCGTCAGTCATCGGAAAGGTTGAATGTGAAGTTGAGTTGAAATGTGCGACGGTCCATGCGACGGAACCTTCTCCGTCGGCAGTTTCCATTCCTTCGTTACTTGGGGCGGAAGTGGGTAGCGGGGTTAGGTTAGCTAGTGTGGTCTTGGCCAGTTTTACCGCTGTGGCGCCCGCGTGTGTCCGACCCCCATGGACCCACCCGAGTACATACCTTTCCAGATGGGGTCAGCAGGTCCACTGCCTCAGGGCGATCCATTACAGGAAGGCGGGGAACGACGGGAAATGGATGTCGTCGCTATCAGGTCCACTCGGATAGTGACTCTGGCTCCCAGCAATCGTCGAGTGCCGGGCCAGGTATTGGACGGTCGGCCAGCGGTATGTATGCACCTACAAGGAGAAGGGAAGGGAAGCTCCAAGCTCTCCTGCGTGCATTCCATGGATGGATCACGGTCACGGTGCTACAAGTCCGAATGGTGATAGGGGGCAACGAATGAATCTTCCATTCAAAAAGAAGGCAATGGGTGCCCCTCCTCCTCATCATCATCATCATCTGTCATCACCACATCGCACATCCCCCTCCCTCGTACACTACACACATCCCATCACCCCGTCACCACGACTGCGCCTTGAAACCCAAACGACGATCCAGTGATCTCAGCTCTCCAACTGGTTCCGGGCGGGACTTGGTCCATTTGACCCCCGTTTCTCGCTGCATCTTGTTACTTTGTACTCCCCACTGTTTGCTATCTTCTTTGATCTCTCTTTTCCGCCCCCTTCGAGATCAAAATATCAAGCGCCATACTAGCTACCCATTCCGTGAACCTTCAACGCTTTCTCGACTCCCTTGTGTATGTAGATTGCTCTCTTTGCGATGCGCTCAAACAACGATGCCTTCGGGCGACCTCGCGGCTCCGACAATGACATCCCGTCTTTACGTCTACCGCCGGCGCCGCAAATGACGTTTTGCTTTGGCGATGAATCTTCAGTTGGTCCTCTGACGGGAAATCAGCCATCGTCGTTCGCTGGTCCGCACCGACACTTGCGCGACAACAAGAAGAAAACTCACGCTGTTGTCGAGGGCTCCGAAGCCCACCACGGACGGGCTCGGGGTCTCTCCCATAATCGGCACAATCCCCATCATAGCAGCACCCCAGAGCCAGAGAAGGAGACCGGCGCAAGCGGGAGCACGAGCACAAAAACGCAACCCAAACACCAGCACAAAAGCCACACTCCAAACCAGATACTTGACACCCTAGACCACGTTATCGAAGACGCTGTTTATCCCAGGCCATCCTCTGCCACCCCGTCCAACGATTTGTCTCAAGCACCCTTTAGCCCCTTTCTCTTTAGCACAGGTCCTGCGTCCGCTGTCAGTGACACATCGTCGCGGCGCAATTCCATCTGCTGCCTCTCCGACGATTTTGACATGGCCAGTATTCCGCCCAGCGTCCACCCTGACGAGATCAACACCGAACTCGAAAATCATTATCTCGATTCTAGCATGATGGACAGCGGTAGTGATCCCCAGCTCATCATGCCGAGCATCAAGATGCCCAGCCGGCGACCCTTTACCGACCAAGGAAAGAGCATGGGCCGGCTCAAGGTCCTGATTGCCGGCGACAGCGGCGTAGGCAAGACTTCGTTGATCAAGGCTATTGTTCAGTCTTGCGAACACATTGTGCATGTTGATCCAATCACTCCGTCACCCATGTCACCCCAACCTAGCTTGAAGAACTCGGTGACCCTAAAAGGAAAACAGACTAAAGGCGGTTCAAGGTCAAGCAGTAGGCGACAAAGCTCGAATGGCACAAGTCAAATCACCGAAGTCTATGCCAGCACAAAACCATACCCTCAGTGGTGGTCCGAGATCGATGACCTTAATGTGCTGAAACGGAGAAAGAGCATGGAGGATACCGTCTTGGATCGTAATATTTGCTTTGTCGATACTCCTGGCTATGGGAGTGGATCGTCTGTATGTTGTCTCTTATCTGTACCGGATTGGATTATGCTGACTTTTCCGGCCAGAGTATGGATACCATCACGCCTGTGGTGCAGTATATCGAGTCCCAGATGCAGCGCATGAACGTCAACGCTCTCAATGATGGAGATATGTTGAACATGCTGGGTGGAGAGGGTGGTGTCCAGATTGATGTTGTTTTCTACCTGGTTTCAAACAGTAAGAGATCCAGGTTGGAAACCAAAGGACCTAGAACTAACACCTCTGCTAGGACTTCGTCCTGTTGATATCGCCTACCTTAACCATCTCAGCCCTCTCACGAACATCATCTTCCTCTTGTCTCAAGCCGACCTGATGTCCCCCGAGCAAATATCAGCCAGCAAGGAACAAATCCAGGCTCAGCTCCGAGAAGCAAACATCCGCCCCTTTTCTTTCTCCATCACGCCCTCAAGAACGGCATCTTCATCAACACTCTCTCCCTCGCCTCCCGACCCCGCAGAACAGGGCGTATATGCCATCTCCAGCGCCGCCGGCACCGACTACGACATGATGGACGCAAGTCTTCTTATGAGCACAGACTATGTCGAGCCTCTGGTACCATCTGAACTTTCCCGGCTTGTCGAGCGCGTCTTCAGTCCCGACGGCGCCTCCTGGCTTCGCCACTCGGCAGCCCGTAAGTACGTCCAATGGCGCAAGAAATTAGTCTCCGAAAGATCAGCTGTTCCGTCTCCCACATCGCCTAGCAGTGTCTTTTCGCTATCTCCGTCATCCCATAACCCCCGCTCCGGCAGCGCCGCATCCTCCTTCCTCAACAGATACAACACCTCCGGTCCTATAGGCGCCACCTCGTCGTATGCTCTTGCCCGCATAACGGACCACACCCAGCGCGAGGAGAGACTGGCCCAAGTAAGACTGGCCAACTGGGCCACCGAGCTGCAGAAGAGCCTAGCACAAGAGCGGGCACAATACGAAGCTCTGGCACGTAACGAACGGGCAGTCTGGTTGACCGAGAAAATCGGCGAATGCGTCATTGACGGAACCCTGGTTCCTATCCCTTCTACAAGCAGTAGGGACAGGAGCGGCTCGAGCAGGAGCCTCAGCACAAGAAGAAGAAGAGGGGATACTCGACAGGGTACTACCGATTGGCAGCAGCAGCAGCAGGAAATGGGACTGTTCGGATTCGGTTTTCACAGTCACGGTCACGGTCATAGTTACGGTCATCGTCAGCACTACCAGCAACAAAGGTATCAAAAGCAGAGGCAGAGGGAGACAGATCCCCTGGGCCTGATGGAGATTGCGGATGAATTGATGTATAAAAGCCTCATTGCGCTGGAGGTTTTGGGAAGCTTGGGGGTCCTGGGCGGACTGGCTATTTGGGTTGGGAGGAATATGCAGTTGCAGCCGCTTGAGTGGTTTGTGGGAGAGTGGAATCGGATTTGGCGGTGAGTTACATACATACCTGAAAGACTCGGGGTGTAAATTAGGAATTGGGGAGAGGAATACATATGAGGGAAATGAGATCATGGAGGATAGTGGAGGATATATTAGTGGTGGTATATTTCCTTTCTGGCTGTTGGGTTTTGGAGTGTTCCTCGGGGAGTTAACACCACCGTTTTATCAAACACGATGTTGTTGGGAATACTCTTTTGGAAAAGCTTTGGTATACACATTATGAGTTATAATACGTTATAAGGAGGATTCACGATGGATGAATGGGATGGATAAATCATGTATATAACGGGCCCTTGGACGGTTGGTTGATCTGGGAATGAATATGTATGTTCAGGTATGGTGTCATATACAGATGGGCTCTGGGCATGGTCAAGGGGCATGTAAAACATAGTCCGGCGGAGTTAAAATCATATTAGTTCGATTCATACACAGCTTGATCCTCTGCTACTGGTAATAGTGATTGATTTACAAATGGGTAAACGCACAAGAGAGATGTGTCTTATCTACTTTAGTCATCCACTAACATCCTCATTGATCTACCTTTACATGCATCACCAACCTTTGATATGGCTTGAATATCTAATCACCTTGGTTGCCATAGTCTCGTCTCTATAAAACACGAATATCACCATCTCGACCACAAACTTTCCCATCCTGCTTACCAAACAATTTTCGAAATTCTACCAACAAACCCCCAATGATACCCTTCCGGTGAATATATCAAACCAAGCGAAGGAGCGACTTAAGCTCTTCTCTTTTCCGCGTCACTATAAATAACATAATACAGCGTTTCTAGGCTCGGTTTCAAAGAAAGTAAGCGAGGAAAGAGGAAGAATCTCTGTCGAAGCAGACTTTTCTTCTTCCAGGGCTAAAAGAATATGTAGTATATAAGCCCTACATTTGAGCCAGAATCCCAACAACCAACCAAAACTACGACAGCTGATTTTCCAACAGTTGTAAACATCTTCCGTAGTATAGTGGTCAGTATGTGAGCTTGTCAAGCTTTGAAACATCAATATCAGTTCGATTCGCTCGAGACCCGGGTTCAATTCCCGGCGGGAGAGACCGTAATTCTTTTTCTTCAAATCGTTTTGTAAGATGAAATCTGGTTTTGTTTTTGCACTGTTTTGGTGGAGTGGGGCCCTCGATCTCATTCAGGCTCTGTCTACTCTCTACATGATTGTATGTTGTTAAGTACTCGGGGAAAAAATGGGTGTAAGCATAGATTTTTATTGTTAATCGCAAAGTCGAGACTACATTCGTAGGACTACTCTATGGGCGATAGAAAATTCGGGTATCATGATGCGCAAAGGAACAGTGACAGGACCGGAAATACGACGAGATGGACCGTGAATTACGACCAGAACGACGGGCTGACGGGACAAGAGCAGAAGAAACTATGACGACTGAGCCTGCGCTACCGCAGCTTCAGCCTCCTCTCTCTTTCTCCATTCTTCATCCCGCTTCGCCTGAGCGGCTTTCAGCCTTGCCATGGTAGCCGCGAAGCCACCACCACCGGCTGCTGTTGGTTTCGCAGGCTCGCCCGTAGCAGGAGCAGCTGGTTCCTTCGTCGGCGCTGGTGCTGGCTGTGGTGGTGGTGGTTGGGCTGCCTTGTTTTCGTCAGCCTTTGACTCTTCTTCTCGTGTCGTGTTGGAGGTGGAGGGGGGTTTGTCTTGATTGTCCTTGTCCTTGTCCTTGTCCTTGCCCGAGCCCGCTTTCTTGTCTGCCTTTTTCCTTTCCTTCTCTGCTTTCCGCTGGCGCTTTTCTTCGAGCTTGCGTTCTAGCTCGGCAATCTTGGAGTCGTAATCATCTCCACCCCCGTTGACGTTGACGCCGTCAGCTGTTGGAGGTTGTTCGCTACCGGCACCGGTCCCACCCATCTTCACATCCTCCTCTTTCTTCTTTTGTCGTTCCTTCTCGGCAGCCTCAGCAGCCTCGGCAGCACGCTCCCTCTCTTCCGCCTCCCTCATCAACCTCCTCCTCTCCTCCAACTTGGCCCTCCCCTTCCTCGCCATGGCCTCCACCTCCGCCGCCACTGCTTGTTTTCCCTTTTCCTCATCCACCTTCTGCCGTTTCGCCGCCTCTTCGCGCTGATGCAGCTCTTCTACAAGTTTTCTCCGACGCGCCGACATGGCGTCCAGCGTCGCCTTCTTCTGCAGGATGGCGCGCATGCCGTTGTCGTAGGCGGCGCGCGCCTCGGCGTGGATAAGCACATCGCGCGCGCGCTCGAGCCGTTCGTAGAGCAATGGGTCGTAGGCGTCACCGGCTTTGTCAGGGTGCGCGGTCAGGGCTTTGCGACGGAAGGCGCGCCGGAGGTCGGCTTCGGTGGAGGTGGCGTCGATTGGAATGGACTCGGAGGTGAGGAGGGCGAAGAGGTCGTCACCGCGCGAGGCGGCGTCGGAGGCGTATTTTATTAGTTCGTCGTTGTTCATTATGTTTATGGTCTTGCGGTTGAGATTGGTGGTAGTGTGTGTTTTGCAGACGACGGTTTGGGGACCGGTCGGTCTGGGTTGGATGGATGGTGGATGACAGAAAAAGAGAAAGAAGAGAAAAGAAGTGGAAAGTTTGGGCAAGTGGACTGGATGGAGCCGGTGACGTTGGGTGGTATTCTTCGGCCGAAAAAATACCGTTGTGCGGTAGCAGGTCTGTAAAAGTAACGTAACAGGCTGTAATTACGCACCCTCGATTTTATCCCCATCAGCCCTACACGATTCTTATGGGTCATCCCTTGTCATTTTCGGCTTTTCTCCTCCTCGCAACATTTTCAAGATCCTCACCAACTTTAACTGTGCCATTGTCGGATAGTGCTCATGATTCATCATTCGTATTGACTCAACTAACTAACAAAACAAGGTATAGGTTTCAACAAAGCTCCAAACGCCCTCCGCTCAATCTGACGCGCCATACGCAAATTTCTTATCGCTACCCTTAGTAGGTGGCAGCCAGCCTCTGCACCAGGTACTTCCCACTGTTGATACCCTCATATTTCTTCTCCGACTCGGCCGCATACGTGCCCGGGATGGCCTCAATATAGCTCTTGTGATTGGGGTTGCAGAAGTACCTAAGGAGAGCTTTGGTCAGCCGCGACTCATTCAAAACCCAGGGGAAACAAGAGGCAACACTTACGCAATGCTGTATCTGGGCGGGTGGACATCTTCTTGCTTAGGGGGCTCGACCACACGGTGAACGGTGCTCTTAATGGTATCATTGCTCCACCTAGCCAACAGATCTCCAGCGTTGACAACCACAGTGTTCTCAATCGGTGTCGCATCGATGAACTGCCCATTGGGACTCTTCACCTGCAGGCCACCACGCGAATCCTGGAACAACAAGGTGATAGACCCATAGTCAGTGTGCTCACCAGCGCGCACCTGGCCGGGGTTGATCTTGAATACCTCGCTCTTCACGGCCGGGTAGTGTAGCAGGCGCAGGATGTTATCACCCACATCGACGAAGCTGTCAAAGTAGTTGGCGTCGATGCCCATACCAACGGCAATGGCGCGCATCACCTCGACGTGTAGCGCCTTGCACTGGTCAAAGAAGTTATTCATGGTGCTCTTGAACCCCACGAGGTCGTCTTGTTCCGCCGGCCACGGGTTCGGGTGGCCCGGCTCGTCTTCGCGGCCAATCTCATAGCTTTCCTTGATATCGGGGGCGGCTGATCGGATCTTCTCAATCTCGGCGGGGTCGGTCAACTGCGTCACCTTCTCGCGGCCGGGGGCTGAGTAGCCGCGGTTGGCCTCGGGCGTGGTCCAGCCAACCTCGAGCTTCTTCTCCTTGGGGAGCTTGAAGAACTTGGCCGAGGTGTTGAAGACATGTTCGCGGAAATCGGGCTGGATGGGGATGTTCTTGAGGTAGATGAACCCAGCTGTCTGGAAGCCGTGGAGGATCGCCTTGGCCGTCTCGAGCTTTAGGGTTTCGTCTCCCTCGAGGAACTTGGAGAAGTCGATGAGCTATTCGACGGGTTAGTTGGCCCCCATGGATAGGCAGGCACTGGGTGAGTAGCAATGGCTACGTCCCAAGGTGTAGCATACCGGGATGACGAGTCCGTCTTCGTTGACAGCAGCCTTTTCCATTTTGATTTTTATATTCAAGTCGTTTCCTCTCGTGTTGGAACTGAGCACGCAAAGAGTTCAAAAGTGAACAAGCTGTCACGGGCGGGGTATCACAGGCAATTAAGCAGAATAACAAGGCCAACGAGAGAGATAAGCACAACCACGGAGGTACAGACTGTATCGAATGTTCTTTATTGGATATTGACCCGATATATCACCTTTATCGGTGGCTGGCACGAGTGCTTGCGGGCAAGTGTATCGCACCTCGAGACTCGACCTCGAGTTGGGTTTAGTTCAAGCTGGGATCTGTCGCTGCATGCAACGATAGCATGACCGAAACGGGCAGGCAACGGCCACTCCGCGATCGCTCTCTGATTGCGTTTGCTTGATGTCAGTGGACAGCGTTGGAGAGTTAGTCGCAGTAATCTTTTCCTCGCCTTCCAGAAGGGGTGTTTCTGCTTACAAGTCGTTCTTATTAAATCCCCACTTCCCATGATAAGCTTGTCTTTGCCCCCTCTCGGCTCTGTTACACTGTCGCATTCTACGATAACGACGGAATGCGGGGGGAAAGGGAAGATCAAGGGCGGGGTATTCATGATATGCTACCACGACACAACCAACGTGTTTCTTTTTGTAGTGTAACGCCTGTTCGTCATTGTTTTAGTTTGGTTGCCAAGCAACTGTACAAAGGTATTGTTTTTTGTTTGTTGTCTTTTCTTGTCTTGCTGTCCTAGTACTTCACCAACCTCATTCTGCAACACCACATCCAAGTATCACCACCACTGAAGCTTGACCATCCCCAAGCTTCACGATCACTCCCCTCATTACTGAACTCCAAAACACGGAAACCCCTATTCTCTCCCCTCACCACCACCACCACAATCCATCACCATGGGTTTCGGCGACGGCAAAGTAGTGGACATCCACACCCACATGTACCCGCCCGAATACGTCAAGATCCTCGAATCCCGCACCTCCATCCCCCTCGTGCGCTCCTTCCCCGGCTCCCCCGACCCGCGCCTCATCCTGCTCGACACCGAGGTTCCCATCCTCGAAGAAGCCGAAGCGGCCAAAGCACGGGGCGAGACGCCCGCCAACATCCCCGGCCGGCCCTTGACCAAGCACTACTCCTCCCTCAACCAAAAGATGCACTTTATGGAAACCCACGAAATCGACATCTCCGTCGTCTCCCTCGCCAACCCCTGGCTTGACTTCTTATCCGCCTCCGAAGCGGGACCCATCGCCGAGTCCATCAACGCCGACTTCAGCCGCATGTGCGAAGAGAAATGCGGCCGGCTTTTCTTCTTTGCCGCTTTACCTCTGACCGCTCCCCGCGACGTCATCCTTGCCTCCATCGCCCACGTTTCCAACCTGCCTTATTGCCGGGGCGTCATCCTTGGTACCTCCGGTTTGGGAAAGGGGCTAGACGACCCCGATCTCTTGCCCGTCTTTCACGCCCTCGCGGACGCAAGACTCATGATCTTCTTGCATCCGCACTACGGTCTGCCTAACGAAGTCTGGGGGCCCCGCGCCAAGGAGAACTACGGCCACGTCTTGCCGCTTGCTCTTGGTTTTCCCATGGAAACCACCATTGCTGTCACGAGGATGTATTTGGCGGGGGTGTTTGATCAGGTGCCGAAGCTGAACATGTTGCTGGCCCATTCGGGCGGGACGTTGCCCTTCCTGGTGGGGAGGATAGAAAGCTGTATTTTGCATGATGGACATTTGCACTCTGCGGGGACGAAGCCGAAGAAGACGATTTGGGAGGTGTTGAGTAGTCAGATTTATCTTGACGCCGTGGTGTATAGCGATGTGGGGTTGAAGGCTGCCGTGCAAGCCAGCGGGCCGGAGGGACACGAGAGATTGATGTTTGGTACTGATCATCCGTTTTTCCCGCCGTTGGGAAGCGATGAAGAGGGCGAGTGGGAGAGTGTTACGTGGAATGGGGCGGCGGTGAGGAAGGCGTTTGGAGCGGAGGATGGGGAAGATAGTGAGGAAGGGAAGAAGGTTAGGGGAGTGATGGGCGCGAATGCGGTTAGGGTGTTGAACTTGAGGAGAGATGGGTGCCGATAGTTGCGGGGTGAAGAAAGGAGGGTTGTGAATAGATATTATGAGGTGTATATACACAACGGAGGGCTGGCCCTTGATATTAAAAATATGGAGGAAAATGGAATGCGATATAAAGCAATCTCTTTCGAAATGCAAACCTCCGTTCGGTGAATTATCCACCGAATGTCCTCGCATTTGTTTCAACCTGAAAACAAGCATCAGTGATGGCCATGGCTCATCCTTTTGATAAACCAAACTCACCCAAGACATAATGTATAGAAGCCGGGCCATAGTCCCCATATAAGCACAAGAAATAAACAATAGCTTGGCATCGATTTCATGTCTTTTAATCCTTTATTCAATATTTTATCTATCACCCTACCCCAACACACATCTTTGGTATCAAAACATCCACTACCCCCTTTCCCTTCATTACCTCCTCCACTTCGGCTCCCCCTCTCCTCCCTATCCTCCTCATCAAGACATCTTACATGGCCCTCAACTTCTCCTTCCCCCTCTTCCTCTTCCCGCCCACCTCCTTCTGCTCCTCGATCTCCAATAACGCCTCCCTCTTCTTCTCGCCCACCACCTTCAGCGCATCCCTGATCACTCTCGTCTCCAAGTTGACGCCCTCCTCCGTCCATGCCTCCATCTGCCGTCCAACTCTCTGCTCGATCGCCAGCACCAGATCGACATCCCTCTGCCCCACAAACGTCACCGCATCACCCTTGCGGCCCGCACGCGCCGTACGACCAACACGATGAATGTAATCGTCCGGATCGCGGGGAATGTCGTAGTTGATCACGATCTTGACCTCGGGGATATCGAGACCTCTGGCCGCCACATCCGTAGCAACCAGAATGCGCGCAGCCGAGGCGCGGAACCGACCGAGGTTGTCGATTCTCTGGCTCTGGGGGAGCTTGGAGTGCAGAGAGGTAACGCGGTGGTCGAGCAAGCGCAACAAATGGTGCAAAAAGTCCGCTGTGCTGGTGCGGTTGCAGAAGATGATGACGCTCTTGTCCACGTTTTGCGGGGTCAGCAGGAACATGTGCAGGTAGTGCTCGCGGTGGGTGACCGGCACCTGGAGGTGCATCTGGCGCAGGGTGGCGGGGATGGCGAGCCGCTGGGTGTCGACTTCGCACACAAAGACGGGGGCGCGGCCGGGAATGGGCGGGCGCTCGGAAAGGGCCTTGACTTCGGGCGTCATGGTGGCGGTGAAGAGAAGCGTTTGGCGCTCGGAAGGAGGAGGGAGAACGGAGAAGCATTCTTCGACGTCGGGGAGCATGGATCCGTGGCCACTGTTGGCGAGCAAACGGTCGGCTTCGTCGAGCACAATGAACTTGACGCGGCGCAGGCCGCAGATGGTGTCCTCGCCTGAGGTGCGGATGTGGTCGGCGAGACGGCCGGGAGTGGCGATGACGAGGTGAGGACGCTTGGCAAGGTCAATGGCTTGTTTGCGCATGTCGGCGCCGCCGGTGATCAGGACGGCTTTGAGGACGTGGGGCTGGGAGAGTGCGATGACTTGCTCCATGATTTGGAGGGCGAGTTCGCTGTGGAAGTGGTTAGCCTTCACCTATTGTTTGTTTGTGGGGGCTAAGGGGTACTCGGAGTGGACTTACCGGGTGGGCGTGAGGATGACACCAAAGATGGCGGATGGGTTGGCAGCCCATTGCTGGAGAATGGGAACGGCAAATGCTACCGTCTTACCCGAACCTGTCCTACTGCCACCGATACAGTCCCTGCCCTTGAGAATCTCGGGTATACAACCCTTTTGAATGCCGGTTGGCCGCTTGATGGCCATGTTGGCGAGAGACTGGACCAGCCATGGGCGGACATTGAGTGCGTCGAAGGTGGTGTTGGCGTCGATAGGAACAGAGACTGTGCTGGCAGGCTCTGGTACTGGTAGGGCTGGTGTTGCCTCTTCGGTCTTTTCTGTTTTGGGAGCCTCAGGTTGCTTTTTCTTGATGCGGGATGGGACGTTGTTGAAGACAGGCTTGACGGGGGCGACAGGCGTGTCATCCTCTTCTTCGTCTTCAAGTTGAGCAACGATGTCGTCGATGGTGGGTGAGGTACGGCGTCGTTTTCTGGGGGCGTCGCTGTCTAGCGAATCGGAGTCTGAGTCTGAACCTGATTCGGCGCTCTGGTTCTCCTCGTCCTCATTTTCATCTGAGACGCCCTCCTCTTCGTCTGAGACGCCCTCCTCTAAATCGTGTTCATCCTCGTCCTCATCCTCGTCCTCTTCATCTGAGCCAGCCGACTCATCATCCTCCACATCTAGTTCAGACCCAAAGTCGGACTCATCCTCAGAGTGATCAAATTGTTCATCAATCTCAGTAACGGCGGGCGCCTTGTTGATCTTGGATTTGAGGTTGGCATTGGCATTGGCCTTTTTGGCCTTTGCGGCTGTGGCAGACGGCATTGTTGGTTTGCTACTTTTTGCGGGGATTGGATTCAAAAGGTCTAGACAAACATTTATCTTTGATGCAAAATGTCGTCAACTGCGAATTCGTTCCCGGACCGTGATGGGCGCGTCTAGCAGCTTCGATGTGTGTTTCTGTAGTGTTGATTATCAGTCGATAAACTGATAACGACTTTGCGATCGCTACAAAATTCAAAATTTTTGGTTCAGCAAGGTTCTCGGGAATGACCGAAAAGGGAAAGCGTGCTTGCAATGTCACATTGAACGTCATTACGTAAGCATGGCATCTGAACTTTATGGGGTGCCTCGGTGCTTCAGAAACCCCAACAGCCCAGAGCCTCACCAAGCCGTCCTCCATCTCCTATGTACATATCTCTCGCGAAACGATACCATGAGGGTAATAATCACTGTGTATCGTGATAAAGTGTCCATTTTCTTAGAGTTTCATCCTCACCTATATACCCATTGTCCTTCCATTCACGAACTTCCAATACAGATCGCCAAGACCTGACGTCCGCACACGGACCGCAAGCAAGCAAGCCTGGGCCTGCCCCTGGGGTAGCATCACAGCAAGACCCACCAATGTACCTTGAAACGCAAGCCGAAGCGCCGGCGAACCGCCAACGTCGCATAACAAGCGTCAGCCACCAAACCCATCGGCGCTTAAGTTTTGGACTGGGTTGTTTGTTTCCACATTCCATCTCATGGAATACGAAGAAACCGTTGGTTTGATCTCCATAGTGCGACTTCTGGGCGCTTGGAAGAATGCAAAAAATAGGAGAGCTTCTTCTTGTTTCGGAATGAGCCAAGAAGCATGAGCAGTCTAGGATCAAGGTCCATGTCGGAAAGCACTGCAATGTCGAGCTTCTGGTGGTGTGTCGTGCTGACTGCACCGTTTCCGAACAAAGTCTACGCAAGGGGTACACATATCGATGACAGAAGGGAAAGCAGCTTGTTCGGTCGGCTGAAAGACAGGACGGACCTCAAGGATGCAGCTCGTTCGTTGTCTTGATGCTCGGACAGATGAGATCATGTCCTCCAACGGCCCCCTTCTTGTGTCATGATTAAGTGCCCCAGAAGGACAGTCGTTGACGATGATCCCAAGACTACGGATCCTCATGGCCGCCGCTAAACGGGCCAAGTCTGGAGTGGAACCCGCGGTAGGGCACACGCGAGCTTGCCCCCGGCGATGCATGGGCTATCGGCCCTTACCCAACTCGGGCATTTCGATAAACATGATGGGCCATGCTAACGTTGTGGTACTTTACTGGCACAGTGGCCTACCGATTTGGCCCCCGAATGCCCCCATCGAACAAGCAGGCAAATAGGCCAGAACAAGGTATCAGCATGAACTGTCGAGCAATGAAAGGAGGTAAAAGTGTTTTGTTTGCATGGCATGATCATGCCTCGTATGGCTTGATGATATACCTCATATTCATCTCGATTCGCATATGCTGAGGTCCTTCATTGTCATCTATAACTTCTCACCTGCTTCAAGTGTAAACGATTGTGTTGACCAAAGCAAGCAAGCGTTTCATCCACCTGGTTGGCTCCCCAAGATGGTGAAGTTAATCTCAAGGCCTGAGCTGACTATGTATGCTGTAGACTCTCCAGGCTGTCTCTTCTGAAACGCCGCTCACTCACAGTGAACTGCGAGGCACAGTGTCTCTCAACGACGTAGGCAATCCTTTCTGTGCCTCTTTGGCCAAGCACTCTGAGAGAACAAAGTTTGCGCCCCGTGCCCACATACCGCAGAACCCGTTGACGATGCCGATGTCCCCCCCTGGTGGTGTACTGTGGTAAGAACAACAAGGCGAGACTGGTGGAATCGCGGGAGGGTTGAAGCGAAAGGACAGGCTTGACTGGCCAGTGGGAGTGTCGATCGGACGCCCTGTGGCAGCTTTCCAGCGTGCCAATCAGATGTTTCTAAAGACCGTTGTAAGTCGAGTTTCGTTTACCAGGCGAGCTGGGGTACTACCATAGACGTAGTGTACGGATGTCATCAGATGCGCACCAACCCCGGGACGGTCTCGCCCTGGCTTGCCTGGTCAATGGCATGGGTGCTGTGTCTTCAATTCTTACGATAGAGAAAGTGCCATTGTTTGGTTCCTATGTGGTAATGTGGTTAGGTAGTATGTTTTCGTATTCATCATCGAATTGTCTTGACGAAATGGTACTCAAGGTGCTGCAGCAGCGGAGCCCGACGAAACAACTGAAGCGCTGCTGGAGGAAATAGTAGTCTTCTAACGTCCCTTCTTTTAGTCCTGTCTAACCATCAATCGTCTTCGGTTCCAAGTTCAACAAACCTCGAGGACTAGAAGCTCCAAGCGCCGCTCTATCGCTGAATTGCAACCCCCGGCTCTATTCTCGCCCTGTTCAACAGTCCCATGTTCCTGTGAGGAGAACAAGACCCCGCCGTTCAGGGCCGCAGCGGGCATTCCCCTGTGCATAAGAGCGAAGGACCCCTGATCCGATCACACTGCCAAGTGTGGGGGCACACAGCCGACATCCACTCCACCGCCGAGACAGACACTGCCCGCCTTGACAGGTCCGCTCCCAGGCAGTGCCGCTCTTCAAATCAAAAACTCGCACAAGCATCCCCGTGTGTCAACAGAAACAACGGCAAGTCGACAGATCCCAACATCATAACCTCCGTCCTCTCCACTGCCAGACGACTCCGCCGGAGATTGCAACACTGCCAGTGGCTCACGCTCGGCGCCTGGCCCATTTCCCAGAGTCCGGCCCGGTCCCGTCTTTCCCTTCCCTGCCGAGGTTGGAGTCCTACGAGAGTCCTTCATAGTTGTGTCGCCTGGCTTCCACTTGCATATCTAGCCGTGCATCCCGCACTCACACGCACAGCTTGACCCTACATACTCAGTACCTACATAGTACACGTTCGTTTTAAGGCCCGACTTCTTTATACACCGGCAATCCCGCATTTCTCTTAACCGACGCTTGATCTATCATCCATCTTCAGCCGTTTTTTTTTTTAAAAAAAAAAAAAAAAAACACACGTCCCATCTGCACCACATCACTTCGACTCGTCGCCATCTCGTTGTTTGTCAGTTGACGTCCCTTGACGTACGAGTCTGCACCTACCGGGTTTCGTCGCCTACCATACAGTGCGCCCCTCCCCTTGCCGACAAATTACATTACTGCTTTTCGTCCGAACGACTCGTCTCGTCTCTTCATCCCAAGTCGCCCCGTTCGCCTATTGCACCTCAGACAGCTTGTCTTGCTCGACGACCTCGTTTTCTCGCCAGTCAGATATTACCACTAGCGAAGAAAGCAAAGTCATCGTCGCACAACTACAAGACCATCTGCGGCCAAAGACCAACAACGGCACTACTACACGTCTCGTGACCGGCTCAATTTCGCCTCGCAGGTCTCGGCCCATTTCAAGCACTGAGGCTTGTCAGGCTTCCAGAGTCTGAACCCTTTGTCTCCAAGATTCGAAACGTCCGTCACCGAGTGACGGCAAAGGCATCTGCCCTCAACAGACTACCATGGCCGATCACCAAGGTCAAAGCAGCAACGATGCTGCCCCCAAGGCAAGTAGAAAAACTACCCAATTCGCCCTCTTCAATCAGGACTCCCCAATTGCCTCTCCAGCATCACCTCTCTGCTCTCTTCTGCCCTCCATTCTTTCAAGGTGCCTGGTGACTGCCTCTCACACCTTATAACACTCGTTTCGCGTCCACACTCGTTTGCTGGCAACACCAATTCATCGCTAACACACTTCACACCATGCAGGCCAACCCAGGTCTCCAGGCACCCCAACTCCAACAGGGACCATCCCCCGTTCCCACAATGGCACCAGCCCCCGCACCCCTCCTCCGGCCAGCCATCCCCGGCGCTCGCCCCGGTGGTCGGGGCCCCCCACGTCTTGGCCTTGCGATCCCCCCGTCTCTAAGTGTTAAGCCCGTCGGTAATCCCGGCGCTCCTCCGGCGCGTGCGGCGCCACCACAACTCAAACTCGCTACCCCCATGGGTAGCACCACAATACCACATGAGCAGCCTGCCGGACGACCAGGCGCCCAAGGCTATAGCGCTAGCGGTGCCAGCGATAGCAGTGCGGCGCATAGCAGGAGTGGCAGCTTTGGTCCCGAGAGCAACCCTACCAGCGCCGACACCCGGTATAGTAATGTTTCGTTTATCGGCGCCCAAAGGCCACACGGCACACCAGACCCTGTCTCTGCAGTGGGTTCTCTTTACTCCAATGCCAGCGAGGGAGGTGTGGGTATGGAACGAGAAAACAGTCTGCATGGATTGGAAGCATTCGACAAGCTTACACTGGAAAAAGCGAGGACACTAGATGTCGAAGAGCTTGATGACGATGGATGGAGGATCGCCATGATGGAGAAGAGAGTCGAGGAGTTGGGACCCCTAGGCGAGGGTGCGGGAGGTGCGGTAACCAAAGCCAGGTTGAAGGGCGGCAAGACCGTATTTGCGCTCAAGGTATGGCACTCCAGCCTGAGATCTGATCCCATGATTTTGCTCGAATCCTTGCTGACGACTCTCTGATTAGATCATCACAGCAAACCCCGACAAGGACGTTGCCAAGCAAATTGTCCGTGAACTAGGGTTCAACAAGCAGTGCGCCTCCGAGCACATCTGTCGGTACTTTGGCGCCGTTGTTGACACCCAATCCGCGACCATCTCCATTGCCATGGAGTATTGCGAAGGTGGTTCTCTTGACAGTGTCTATAAAGAAGTCAAGAAGCTTGGCGGGCGTACAGGGGAAAGGGTATTGGGCAAGATTGCCGAGGGCGTTCTACACGGATTGACATATCTGCACAGCAAGAAGATCATCCACCGTGACATTAAGCCTAGCAACATCCTTCTTTGTCGCAACGGCGAGGTCAAGCTTTGCGATTTCGGTGTCTCGGGCGATTATGGCACGAACGGCGCGGCCAACACATTCATCGGTACCAGTTATTACATGGCGCCTGAGCGAATCACAGGCCAGTCATATACCATCACCTCGGACGTTTGGTCTTTGGGTGTTACCCTGCTCGAGGTTGCACAGCACCGATTCCCCTTCCCCGCCGATGGTACCGACTCACAACCCCGTGCCGGTCTTATTGACCTGTTGACGTACATCGTCCGCCAGCCTGTGCCGAAGCTGAAGGATGAGCCTGATGCGAACATTTTCTGGACTGACAAGTTCAAGTACTTCATTGACTGCTGGTATGTGCACCCACTCCTTATTCTTTTTCTTTTGTCCAGCAAGCTAACCAGGATAATTGTGTAGCTTGGAGAAGGATCCCAACCGCAGAGCGAGCCCTTGGCGTATGCTCGACCACCCCTGGATGTTGGAAATACGGTCAAGGCGTGTGAACGTGGCTCGTTTCCTGGCCACGGTATGGGGCTGGGAGGATGGGAAGGAAGAGGCATAGTGTGTCTGCGGTGGGAATAATCGATCGAAATTGGCGAGTTCAGTTCATGGGCCACGAAATTTCTGCAAATGCCGGAAGCACAAGAGTCGTGTACCGGAAGACAATGGGGTCGTTTCTTCGGTTAAGGATGTCGAACCTGGTGTCTTTGATTTTGAAGAGGATGAGAACTTTGGCAAAAGCGAGTCGACCCGTGTTTGACAGCTTTTGGATATATAAATATGAATGAACCTCATGATAAGGACTGGATAGGGATTCGTATATGCACCGTGTATGCTTGGGTTTCGCGAGGCTCGCACATCTTAATGGTACCTGTGGCTAGCGAACAACAAACGGGACCGATTTGAGCAAGAGAGCTCTTTTAAAGGCGAAGTGACATGCAGTCGTACTCATGACATCCATCCATGCCCACCTCAAAATCGGGTTCCAAAAGACGTGTGGGCACACCAAATACCCCAAGTTTGCACCCTCCCAGCCCCCCTTTAACCCTTTCATCTCATCTCTGCCTACAGCCACTAAGGGGTATATAGCCCACCTTACCAGCGGCCTCTTCCGTGGTCCGCTGGTACATCCGGGAGTAATGAGGGAGAGCTCTTCGTGAGCTGTTACCAAGTAAACTGGAAGTTGCCGGTTCGAGTCCGGTGCGGAACACCTTTTTTTTGTCTTTTCTTCTCTTCTTTCCTCTCCTCGTTATTATGGTTTGGGTGAGATTTTCTCGAAATATGGTATGTTGATTGCAGTTGTGTGAAATGGGAATGACATCTTTTGGTACAGTTTGGCCAGCCCCTTAATATCAACCCTAACCCTTGGTTGACATGGAATTGGAACTGAATGATGGAAGGTGGGAACGATCACGGTCGACTCCATGGCTGGTAAGTATAACTTGAACGTTATGAAATCTGTACGAAATCGGGCTGCAGGTGACATCCGGTTTGTGATTCAAACGAGGTGCCCCAATCGCGATTGGTGAGTGTTGGATGAACATAGATTTGGCGCTCTTTGTATGCATATAGCATATAAGTCAAGGCAGTTTCGAGGATTACATAGAGGAATAATGACCGTGCAGGTAGAATCTAGAACGGGTCTGACGGCACTGGTGCCGATGCCAGTATCTTTTTGTTGGTGATACGGTACCCTTGTTGGTAGGCGATTTCTGTGAATTGCGACAAGTTTTTGCGGTCGTCATAGTCGGCAAACCTATGATGTACGCCCTGAGTCTTATCCGTTCCACTGCCAACATAAACGAGGGGCGTAGCGTCTGCTTTTTGGACGATTAAGAGGTATAGGGAGAAAGTACCTAGGTTCGTCCTGACGGGAATACTACTCAGGGTTAACTTAAGAAGGGACCATGAAAGGAACGGAGCGGACGGTTATAATGGAATTACATATATGTGCACTATGAGTACTTCCGTAGCTCAATACCAGGAAAGAAGGACTGCAGGAATATACCTGCCCAGGTGCCCGTTTTATTGCATTGTAGTAGCAGGCACTGTGCATATCACGGGCGGTCTGAGCAGCGTAAGTGGTCCGACCCTGCCACCACAGGGCATTTTTCACAAGCTCTTACATAAGGGTCCTTCTCTCCCCATTCAACTTTTGGTATTCTTTCTCTCTTTTCTTGACACATACCTATATCATCTCGACAGCGAAGAAAGTCCACCAGACATAAAGGATTCTTCATTCATATTCCAAGGTACCTGCTTGGCTTCTAGCTGACCACTTTCTCATCACTTGCTTGGTTATTTCAACGCTTCTTCATCAGCAACAAACACCAAGCTACCTAAGTACCAACTACTATTCCATCCTCTGACCACCATCCACTTTTCATCTCATTTTTTCCCTCCCATTCTTTTCTTTCATCCTTCCACACGACGTCCGAGTGCGCTGTCCTCACAACACTCCTGGCAGCCTTGGCCCACAAAGTCCTCCTCGCGTTGATCTGGTTGGTGGTGTTCTCCATCAACGTGTTCTTCGTGTTCTCGTGGGGCAGGAAGAATTTCTGGCTGTTGTAAGTCTACTTCATGTTCCAATTCATTTTTGTTTCTTCCTTTCTCTTCTTATCTCCTCCCCAGCTTACCTTGTCCTCTCGGTCCTCTGGGTTTTTCGCTGACCAGAAACAGGCGCTTGCCACGCAACCACCTCCCAAACCACCCTCCAGAGCGGCAGCAGCAGCATGAATGACAATTTCTCCGGTTGCCAGATTCCATCAAGACAGCCATTTAGCACTGTGGCGTTTCGAAAAGAAGTCTTCAAAAAATTTTTCTAGACCAAATCAGTACACAATGGCCCGCTGCAAACAGCAAGCCCAAAACGGGCATCAACATTCGCTGTCTCCGTTGGTAAGTACTCCTAGCATTTCCTGTCTGGGCACCTATCCATATCACCGCGAAGATTAGCTTAACGTAATGTTCGTGAACAGACCAGAACGGACACAGATTCCAGTCCGCCCCATGCCGTCCCACTCAAGCCCCAGAAAGGGCACAAGCGTCGTCCGCGGCGCCTACAACAACCACCACGACGGGAACGTCGTCCACTTTGGCTGCATCGGCTGTAGCAACATATTCCGCCATCATCGCCGCCGCACAGCTAAACGAGCGAGGCTGCGAGGCCCTTTTGGAGTACGTGAACACCAATCATCCGCTGGGACCCCTCCGCCTGGATTGAAGGGCTAGAACAACTTGCGTCGTTCCACCGGCTGTGAAAGACAACAACTGTCCAATGTGACACCTCAAATGTCCAACTTCACAGTTGGGTCCCAGCCGTCATTAGTTGGTGTTTACTTGGGATTCTCTGGTTCTGGCACCGATCAGAAGCCATCTGGATCCATTGCAACAGAAAAATTGACAATCTCGCCGAAGTCCCTCCCCCATTACCCGACGCACCCGGATCACGATGTGGCCTCAATTTTTGTTGTCGCAGTATGGCCTCTGGAGATAATCTGTAACATTGTTTGGCAACACATCCTCACATCCATAAAAGAAAACAACATATCAAGCGAATGATAGCAGCCTGTGGAGCGCCGCAAAGGGAGGAACGGCGGATACCGTGACGTGGGACAATGAAACCGACACTGAAGAAAACGAAACGGACAACAACTGTATTGTTTGAGACGGTGACTGATACGACGACGACAAATTAGATGGGATGAAGAGGAAGATGGGATAGATGAGGGAACTCTTTTCTTCTTCATCCGATGAACATACTCATTCGATGGTGGCGGGGCAATCAACATGGAGCAGGCCACGGCAAGCTGTGGAATAACTGGGTTTTTCAACATACAGTATCCATACCAAGAGAACAAAAAAAAGGCAGAAAAGGGGGGATTTATTCTTCATTACTCGGACAGAATTCTGACCTTTTTCACTAAGTCGGGGGAGTATATGACTGTGCAGCTGTATGACGGCTAAACGGACTTGTATCAAGAAACATGAGCGAGTTCCTAGATAACTTTTCCCTCCATGCAATCCAGAGTCGTGCAGTCAAGACGGTTTTGCCGGGAGTGCAGTTTCACCTGGGCAGCGACGCATCGAACACCGGCACCGGAGCGGTACTAGTGCTTTATGACAGAAAAACCGACTGATCAAATAGGTCCGGCAGGGTTCGCAGAGAAACTGCCACGTGATACGTTAACCGACAAGTTAGGTTTGCCCATGATTTGTCCATGGCCTCATACAAATCTACCCTATGATGGGCTTTGTACACATGCGGCTTTCCTCGAGGGTGTCAATCTCGGTAACAACAACCCAGACTCAGCTGGGATGACGGAGGATACATCCCCCTCTCGAGAAGTAGTCAATCAGGTCTTCGTGATCCGGCACGCCGGGGATTAAAATCGCATCGCAGTTGCATTGCAGAATGCCGGTAGTTCTCTGACTAATGTATTTTGATCAAGTTTAAGGTAGTTGCGCCTACAAGGCCGTGCTCACACCCAGTCACATACAAATACAAGCCTTTGTGAGTCCAAGTAAACTCATCCTCTTTTTTTCTTTCCATCACAACACTGCATGGATTTCCAAAGACTACCCACAATACCATCCAAAGTCACCTATCCCTCAAAACACAAACATCCCTACATCTTGAACCAACAACCACGCAAGAAGCAGGAATGACACAGAGACGAGAGTGTTCGCGGCCGTCATCGGTAGAGGTGAGTACTCCCAGGAATTTCCCCATGCCTCCTGTCCCTGCCACAAAAACACCGGCTATATCCCAGTCTTACTGATATCCATGAACAGACGGCCAAGAGCACTTCTACTTCTACGTCCATTTCAGCCATGGCACCGCGAATTCCCCAAAGGGAAACTGCGGCGGCGCCCTCAGCGACCACAACTACAAGGAGTACGACAATGAGCACGACAACGAGCACAACGACAACAACATTGGCTACGTCCTCCTCGATCAGTGCATTTCTAGACCAAGGGTGCGACGCCCTTTCGTGGTTAGCTGAGGAACCTCTTCCCAAGTTGGAGGTTACCTAAACGAGCGGCGGATGAGTACTGTGAGAGGGGTGTGCAGGCTAGGTATGTAGTCCTACGTAAGTTTCTCTTCATATTCGGCCAAGGCGTTGACTGATATTGCTAGCATCGATGCAGTCAGATCATTTGATCAGCACTATCCTCGAGAGGGGAGATGCTTAACAACATTGCCCGCTTGAAATATAGTTGCCCCATATACAGACTCTTTAGCTGCCTCTTCCAATCTCGCTGCTTACAGCTTCACTGGCACTGGACAACGAGTTGTTATAGGCTACACTAGCTTCGACATTGGATCTACTACATACATCCTGCATTCATTGAATTCAATAGGGCAAGTGGAGCGATTGACTTGATTACAATGGGGCGCACCACCTAAACAAATAATCCCTGTAGACACGAGACACATATATGTAATTCTAGTGCTGGAGATGGACAGTCAATTCGAGGGGAAAATATACAAAATATTGCTCCCAAAGCCAAGCTGCTTGTATAACATATCTATCCTCGCCAACCAGGGCGATCTCAAGACGGGGGTTAATTTTGGGTTGGATCTGGCGGGCTTTTTCAAACACAACACCACCTATCTTTAGGCATCTGAGAGTCGGGACAGAGGGTACATATACCTAGCCAGTCAATCATCAATTCACTGCTGGACAACAATATTAACACAACATCTGCTCTTTGGTAAAATCTTCAGGTTCATTGACATTATGAATCTGTATGACAGATCCGTCACCTGTGAAAGGAGTGGCTATCGCCTTATTTGAAATGTGAAAAAAAAAAAAAAAAAAAAAAAAAAAAAAAAAAAAAAAAAAAAGGGAAAGGGGGGTGGAGACTTATTACAGACTTAACGGGTAGCAGTAGCCTTATTCCAAGCGAGGATTCCATTTTTCCCATTCTTTTACCCCCTTGGTGAAAGGGGAATTGGCGGAAGGCGCAGCGAGAGATCCATCCCTCCCAGCCCCACAAAAGGTACAAAGGACACTCCGATATTTGAACGCAGCATCAGACTTTCATATGCAAAAAAATGCATATGCAGAAAAGACCAAACGTAACATTTCTCAAATTATGGTTTTTGGGTCAAGTTGTAATGCGCATGTGCTGTGCGCGGTAGGCCAAAACACAAGAGTTATCTGTACATCTATAGAAGTACCCAACTCACCAAGCGGGTGTTCGATTTGGTGGACAGGTCCCTTATTGCGGCAAGCCATGTCGAGTATTGAACATCTGTCAATGATCGTACAGCTAATCAATCTGCAAGTCAAAATTTCCATCTTGACGGCTGTACTTACAATATGCAAGAACAAGCCATAACGAGCCGTGGACGGCGGGATGGGTCCCGGAGTTCTTGCCAACAATTTACACTTTCCTCGTGCCACTATCCGCAATGAACAACTTTTTCAGTAGAACTCCGCCATGTAAGCATTGCGGCAATGACGAGCTAACGTGGAAGAGAAGTAGCCCATCTGAGGGTAGTTGTTCTTTCCATTCCTAAAGGACAGCTGAGATAGAGTCATCCCACTATGATAACTCTTTCCTCCGCTTTGCGTGAAAGCTTCGGGGATATCTTCCCATGTCTTCGGCCTTTCTCATTCTCTCTACCCAATTTTTCTCCTCCGCTAAACAATTTCCAGTCTCGAACTCAGCACGACAATATCTGACTCGAAGTACACACGCCCTCTCTACGCCTACCATGAACGGCTTCCTGGGTACCTATCTGGGTGAATGGAAGCTGGAAGTCATGGACACCACACAAGATGCCATTCGCTACCATTGCAATAGTCACGGAGGTGTCACTGATGGTTGGCGTCCGGAAGAGCGGTTGTGGATTGGTGACCACGGAGACGTCTGGAAGGAAAAGGCTGTGTATCCTCCCTTTCTATCCAAGGTGCGCGCAGTCAAGAAGATCAACAAGGAACAGACGAACTTCAGTCAGTCATCACAGCGAGAGCTCCATGCCCTCACAACGTTCTCTGGGGATACAGTGGCAGAGGTAAGTAAAAGCCCTACATTCCCACCTTCATTGTGGCACATTTATTTTAACCATGTCTAATTTAGTACCGAAACTGCTTCGTCCAGTTCCTTGGCTGGTTTGAAGATGCGCACTACCTGTACATCGCTATGGAATTCATGCCGAACGGTGATCTTCAGCGCTACATTGATGAGGAAACATTCCTTACTGAGCCCGAGGCAGCCATAGTTACCCGACAAGTTGCCACAGCTTTGCAGTATATGCACATCAACGACTTCGCCCACAGAGATCTTAAGCCTTCAGTATGTTTTTATTGGCACTACCATGGTTCATAATATATGGTTCGTTTGGAATATGAACTAATGTATACAAACTCAAAGAACATCCTCATCTCTTCAAAGGGACCCTCATGGCACGTCAAGCTAGCGGACTACGGAATATCCAGAAGGGCAACTGGCGCACCGGTGTCCACCGAGTACATCCGCACCAGCGGATACATCGCTCCTGAGTTAGTCGATACTTCAGAGAATTATACTGCTGCGGTGGACATGTGGGCATTGGGAGCCATAGTCTTTTGTATGTTGACGGGCGCTCCGCCATTCCACAAGCTCGACGACATGCTTGAATACTGTGCAAAGATGAGACAGTTTCCCACTCGCTCATTGCGTACATCGACGGGAGTAGCGTGTATCGACCTAATCCTGGGAGCTATGGAGCCGGTGCCGGCAGAGAGGCTGTCTATCTCAGAGGTCTTGGAACATGACTGGCTTGCTGTCAAGACTCCGATTGCTAGCGAAACCCATTAGTAAGCTCTTGACTCTTCTCAACCATCACGCATCAAGGCTAATTTGTGTTAACTACCTAAGAGTCTCGAATCTAAATCCACTTCCTAGGCTGTGTTCCCCTACAATCCGCCTTCCGTCTTTCAGGGTGCTGCCGGAATCACCCCAGTCTAATACAATGTTGGAGGTTCCCTGTTTGACAGCATCAATTCACGTTTCCGAGACATTTGACTCAACCTCTATCGCCGAGGTTACTGTGGCCCAGAATGAGGGACAGGTCATAAAGGAAAGGACATACAAGGCGAAAGAAAGCCAGCCGCCAGCTGGAAGTATTCTAGAGGCAACCATCTTGCAGCTGAAGTCACTCCGCGAAAAAAATGGGACTAAACAGCATAACCCAAACCATAAGACGAAGGAAGAGAAGTGCGACGAGCTGTATAATAACCTTCTCGACAAGATGGTGGACAGCTATCTGCAAGACGGCGACCTCACACGGTCCAGGAACATAACGTTGTCCCAGTTATTCATTTTCGATGATGAAGATGCATCGCAACAGCAAAATCCAGAGATACCCGGAATTGTCTACGTTTTTTGTTGCCAGACGTGCCCTGGACTTGTGGAGAGTCTGCAACATTGGCAGCTTAAACATCGAAACACGGCTTAAAGATTCCCACTTCTGTTCTGATGACAGGATTGGCAATTCAGAGCCACGTTCAAAGGTCTGCGCAACGTTGGACAAGGTTGTGTTGGATGTCTACCCAGCATAATATACACCTGGCACCCATTTACACTTGCGGTGTTTCCTGTAGGTAGCCTTATGTAGTCTGTTGTTTTCTTTCCTGCTTGGGCCTTTCTATTCAAAGAAATTATAGAAAAAAAAAAAAAAAAAAACCGTTGACTTTTTCGTGTAATCAGGCCAGGCTTGATCCTTGCTAAATGAAACCCTTCAGGCGCCGACTGTGGGTCCGCCGGTACTGGCGTTGATCGGAATCAAGTGTCGCGTCAGTTGAGACGCGGCTTCATCTTGAACACCACGTATTCTACCCTTCAAGCAAGTGCAGCTCGGCACCATGAACAACAAAAATAATATCCGGACAACCATGGAGCAAATTTTGGACGCCTCCTTGCGGGATTGGAAGTTGGATCTTCTGCAAGGAGAGTTCCGCCACAACCCAGAGAACGGGGACGACGTCCACATCCATCTGAAAACGAATGAGTTATGGCGCCCCGTTAAACGATTGGGAAGCGGTGCTTTTGGAGAGGTCTGGCAGCAACAGTGTATACGGGAAGAATCTGTTACCGAGCTTCGTGCCGTTAAAAGAATCCGTAAGCCGCACACAGGCTTTCTCGAGTCATCGCAGCGAGAGATTCAGGCACTCGCTACATTTTCCAGCCACAAGAAGCACCAGGATCGGTCCAATGTGAGTTGAGTATCTACCTGTGCATGATGTTTTGAGTTCTTTCGTTCCTTTAATGGAAAGAAAACGTGAATGGCTAAGTACAAACTGCAGATTGATGACCAATATGAGCGACGGTTTGTTCAGTTTCTCGGCTGGTATGAGGATGCCAACTACCTATATCTCGCTATGGAGTTTTTAGAGTGTGGAAGTCTTCAGAGGTTTTTCGAAGTGAGAAAGGCGCCTTTTGAAGAAGAAGAAGCAGCTACGATCATTCAACAGGTTGCAGAAGCCTTGCAATTCATACACAGCAAGGATTTCATCCACAGAAATCTCAAGCCTTCGGTATTTCTCCACCTGGCCAAGTGTGCGTACTGCTCGACGCTAACGGGCCTCAATCACTGAATATTCTCGTTGCGAAGACAGGGCCCGCATGGCATGTGAAAGTCGCCGATTTTGGAATTGCAAAGGACACCGGGGTACCCTCGTGCTGTACAGACCACGTCGATGCGCCGGGATATGTAGCCCCCGAGATGATGGACTCGAAAAACTACACGTCAGCGGTCGATGTGTGGGCGTTGGGTGCTGTGGCCTTCTATTTACGGACTGGTCATACTCCATTTGCCACCTGGGAGGCCTTAAGACAGTACCGTGCGGGTCAGAAGGACTTTCCGAGCCGCGTGTTGGGCGTATCAACTGGCTTCTGTATTGATTTCGTCCTGGGGGCTATGCGCCCGCTTCCGGAAACGAGGTTGAGTATTCAGCAGGTTTTGAGCCATGAATGGCTTCACATGAAAGAAACGTATAGAAATTTGACGGCTCCGTAAGATTCGAGTTCCCTACGCTTTCTCGGAATAACGGACCTGAAGATGGACTTTATCTGACTTGTCATTACAGGTCGCTATTAAACAAACCGCTTCCTACACTGAGCATGGTGAACAGGTCAACAGCCACCAGCAGTGCGCCCACACCCAATACGCAAACCAACTCTACGCGAACCAGTATAACACGTAACCAGTCAGACCGCGAATAACCAAGTTGAGACAAGGAACGGGAGGGTGACGGGGCATGAAGCTGAAGTGGTGAATCAGGAGCAGCCGAGAATGAAAGAGGAGACAGAGGAGAGAGAGCAGCAGCGACTGGCTGCTGAGTCAACAAACAAGAAAGCACCAGAGGGGCAAAACAAGCGACAAAGGGAGTTGTCGTTTTTCTGGAAGAAAAAGGAAGAAGAGGAGTTGAAGAGACAGGAAGAGCTGAGACGGAGGCAGGAAATAGTCAAGAGGGAAGAAGAGGAGGCGGAAGAATTGGAGCGACAAGCAGAGCTCGAGCGGGAACGAAAGGAAAAAGAAGAGCTCGAGCAAGCGCGAGTAAAGCAAGCGCTTTTGCAGCAGCAGCAGCAGCAGCAACAACAACAACACCAACAACAAGAAAGGGACAAACGGGCAAGAGAAGAGTCTGAAGACGCGACAGAACCAGAACCAAAACCCGACGCAGAGAGGATCAAGCGGGTGAAGAAGGAGCTTAAAACTATCTGCATGTTATGCGGCGAGAAATTCCAGCATTTTGGCCAGCTGTCTAGGCATTTGAATACTGAAAGGCATAGGATGCCCAAGGAATACTGGGGAGCAGGGATAGGACACAGGGAGTTCTCGGATATAGATGCTCTTGAAGCGCTTAGAGGACCGTTGGAGTAGCCTAAGAAATTCAAGAAACAAGACTACACTCAATAGATCGCGGTCATCACACATGAATCACAGCGACATCAAAATATACGTCAACTGCAGGTAGAATTACCCAGGATACTCGCTTCACGTTCTGGGCTCGGGGTTGGATTTATAGCATTGACGCCGAGAGTTGTATGCAAAAAAAAAAAAAAAAAAAAATAAAAAAAAAATAAATAAAAAAAAAAATAAA